CAGGGCGACTCCAACCGCGGCGGCGGCGGCAGCGCCCCGGGGGGGGACGGGAGGCGCCAGCCCCGGCCGGCCCCAGGCAGCGGCTGCCGGAGCCCGGCCCCAGGCGCCGTCCCGCTCGGCTGCTTCTTCCCTCCTCCACAGCCGCATCGAGCCGGGCTGGGACCCCGACCCGCTGCCTCGGTGGGACCCGCGGCGGTGGAGGAGTTAGTTACCAACGGGAAAACCCGGCTCTAATTCCCATTGTTAAGGAGTTGTGCACGATCAGCCGTTCCCAGAGATGGCGCTAGGATTAGGGTAACCCCCCTCTCCCCGGCTGTTTTGATTTCATAGGAGAGATAATCGGATTACTCACAAAGTCCATCTGATGGAGAGCCATACGTGTGCACTGTGGTATTGTTTTGTCTCCCTGTGGATTCACTCACAGCACTAAACAGTGAAATGTTACACAGCTATAGCTTTAAAGAAAAAAAAGGTGTGTAGTCACCATACAGATTACCATAAAGAGAGCCTTTTATGAGGGGTTTGTAGGAAGGGCATGTGCATAAAGTATTAGGTTGGAAGGTTCAGTTTTCATGCTTTATGGACCTGTTGTGAGATCAGTGAGATCAGATGCTTTAATTTTCTTCCTTGTGGATCCCAAGGAAGAAAATGAAGGAATTTTGTTTCCTGCTCTGGTGGTGTATGGTGAAAGGATTAGGGAAGGTGGGTCAGTGCATTGCTCGATAGCAGAAACTCAGCTCTACGGTTCTCATTTAGCCTTTAGGGAAGGTTTTGTTGGCAGTAAGAGTGTAGCTTCCAGAAGGACTGGGAGTATGGGTTATACTGGGCTTGAAGGTAAAGCTTGTGTTAGCTTTGGCTGATGAAGTAAGGAGAAGATGCAGATTTGGACTTAATGAAATGGGAAAGAGGGAGGGGAGACAGAAGTGTGAGACGCTGGATTCTGTCATCGTTACTGCTGTTTGTTAATATGAGCTATAGATGTAAATCATCTCAGTAAATTTAGGCACCCAAGTTTGAAAAATGCCACTTTCCTGGCTTATTGTCATGGTCACAAAAGCTCCGTGACAGATCTGGGACCAGAACCCCAGAGCTCTAACCCCTGAGGCAGGAGGCAGAGAAACCATGGAGCTGTGACTTAAGGAAAAAGAAGTACCATAATGAAGATCGTGCAGGAGCCAACTTAGATGCCTGGAAGGGAGAAGCACAGAGCTAGAACTGAAAAGATGAAGGACCTCATTGAACCTGAAGTGCCTCATTAAGTGCAGTGCAGCCTGTGCAGTGCACAGTGGCAGATTTTTCAGGAGATATGTGGAAAGCTCACACTGGGAAGGGTGGGAGAAATGGGGGGAGAACAATTCCCTTTCTAGAACTGATATTGTATATAACAAAATGAATTAATTACTTTATGCTTAGTAGGTATAATGTGCACAGTCCATTTTAGAACAGTCTGGTCATTGTGGAGCTGTCTGCCAGCAGAGTTGTCTGCTGCTCCTGTCTCCTGCTTCTGAAATGCCAAATGCTTGCTCTGTGCCTGCCTTATTCCACAGGCAAGTTGAGGTAATAAGTTGGTTTCTCTGCATCTTTGTACACAGAACTGTAAGGCAGCAAACGTTCATCAGCTTGAACTGAAGTAAAACCAAAAGGAGAATAAGTAGAAGAAATTGATGTAGAAATCCATCTGTGTACTGCAACAGTCAAGAATATTGAACGGCAGATTGTTGTGATGAGGTTCTTGGTGCTTTGGGGCACAGCTCCGAAAGCATGGGAAGGCTTGGACATTACTGCCATGCCCATCAGAACTCATGCTAATATTTGCCCATGTTTGATGCTTCCGTGGCTCCCCACAGTACTACTGGAAAGCTGAGAAAGGACTGTTTGCCAAGTGTTTCATGAACTTCAGATGATGGTTGCTGTTGCTGTGCAAAGAAGTGCCATGAATTCAACCAGTGGCTTGCTGGCTGTAGGGAAGAGAAAGGGATGCAGAGACAGATGTCTGCTTGAAGTGCTGATCTCTTGGGAAGAGTGAGAGTGAGGAACTCGTGCCAGGGTTGAGATTTCAAGATGTGGAAATAGGAAGTGCAGTGTTTCTTTTAAAAGGCCTCAGCCACGCGTGCCGCTCAATTTATCTTCCTGGCTGGCCTTACTTCAATAGCATTTAGCCTTCTAGGGCCCATTTCTGTGTTGTTATTCAGATTAAGCTGGCAAGCTTTGAGCAAAGGATGCAGACCGGATTTCCAGGGACTACTTTGAGAAGGGTTTGCAACACGGCTGCTCAGCTGCAGAACTGTCAGCCTGCTTTTAACCTTTAACTGGACACTGAAGTCCAGTTCTGCGTGGGATGTTAGGTAGTTCTTGAGGTATGTGTCTGCTGCTTTTAAATCCCCAGACACTTTGCTGGACAAGTTCTGTTGTAACCTCTCCTCAGTGTCTTGCCATTGCTTCACCAGAGGTTTTAAGCACTTCTGCAGCTTGGTTCCAGCTCTTGCATCAGTGTTTGGCCAGCTGTCTGTGAGGGATGTAAGGAAGGAATTGGGGAGGGTACTGAGATGTTGCAGGTGTGGGTCCTCCAAGAGGCAGCATGGAGATGGTGTTTTGACAAGTGCTGCCTGTGGCGTGCTGCCAGCTTGTTCTACAGAAAGCATGGCCTTGGCAGGTGGTGATGGCAGCAAAACAAATCTGGAATGGGCTGAGATAAAGGGTATTCTCTTGAGAAGTGGGAAAAGGAGTGATGAATACCTTAAAACTGTTTAATCTCAGGAAGATGTGCGTGTTGGAGCCCTGAGAACTGTCTTCTAATGTGAGACAATCTGGGGGCCTGGTGAAGGCCTGAGATTTCTGATCAGTGGGAGTTTTTCAGTGTTTTTCTCTCCAAGGATGGAAACTTGCCTGTGCCATGAGTTCAAAATAAATTTCCCAGGAGTTCGGATGCTTAGATCCTGAGGGACAGTCGGCCTTTCTTCTGAATGCTGTGAATCAGAAGCCCTGATTTCGGGTACCCTCTCAGTCGATTTGGTGGCTCTATTTCATTCTTCCTTCTGGGTCTTTCTGCAGTCAGGTAACCTTCTGCTTACTCACTTATTTTCAGTATCTGCTTCCAGTCCTATGCTGATGCTTGATTTGCAAAGGGACTAGATGTTTTGTCTATTTTAGTCTGCAGCTTTAAACTGGAGAGTGCAAACTGAGCGCGACTATGATTGTGATGGAGACAGCATGGGATATGTAAATCTGGGAGTGGGAAAATCAGGGAAAAGCCCAGGATTTGTATCCAGTAACCAGGAGCAGCACATGCAGGGCGCAGAATCACTGCTTTTGTTAATGTAAGGATTCTTTTTGCTGTCCATTAGTGTAAATTTGTGACAGACCTGAGAGGTTGCTGCTGTGATCTATAAATCTCTGCTCTGAAGGAGTTCTGTGATGCTGGTGTTCCTGGCTTTGCATTTCTTTTCAAGGACAGATCTGTTAAATGATCATGCAACTATTCTGATTTCATTCATTTTTAGGTTTAAATATACCTATTACAGCTGTGACATGACTGCAGCTCCACTCCCTCCTGTGCTAACATTTTCAACAGCCTCTTTTCCTATAGGGAAAGCAGGGAGTTATCTCACAGAGGTACACACTGAGATGGGGTAGGTGGGCTGGGGGTTTGTGGAGCAATGCTTCAGCTTGATAGCAGCCTGGGGGGATGTTCTGCAGCACATGGGCTTCCTGCTACACATGGTGGGGATGGTGTGCTGCAGCTCTCTTACGTGCTGGTGGCTGGTGAGGTTTTAGCTGTGCTGGGGGGAGAAGACTGCTCTTTGGTTCAGACAGAAATTAACCCAGTGAAGCAGCCCTAGTGACGCTCCTTCAGCAGATGATAAGGATTCAGGGTGGTCATTTGGAACGTATTGTGAACCGTGGATGTGTTGGCTGTTACCCTGTAGACATAAGCATCATTTGGAAATGATGGGTGACTCACTAGTGCAGTATAATCACCAGAGGCATGCCCAGCACTGAGCCATCCATCACTCTTGAACTGACAATACACCCTTATATGTGTGCTGTGCCTGCCCAAGACTCCTGTTATAAATCTTCTTGCAATGGAGGAGTATGTGTTTCTTGTAACATACATACGTACACAGGGGTGCCCTGGGCACGCCACATCATTCTGTTATTGATGGACAACATCCTGCCTCTGTAGGGCAGCTTGTGCTTTGCCATACTGGCAGGAGAAAGGATTCTGTAAAGCTGAATAAAACACATTGTGATCTCCAGCCTGTGGCTCCAGAGGAGCTTGTGGCATGTACACCCTTTGTAAGAGAGACATTTCCTTTACTCACAGTCATTTTTGCCTTTCCCAACCTGGTTTATGCAGCAGGAATTCAGCAGTTCAGGAACTGGGGAGGGAGAGCAGTGGGCTTTGGCTGTAACCAGAGGCTGTGACTAGAGTTGCCAGTGGAGTGTGTAAGGAGAGAGTAGGAGAATGTGAATCTAAAGACTGCAGTGAAGGGGTGCTGCTTAGAAAAGCACTCTCAGCTGGTGAGTAGTTTTGTTTCAGTGAAAGCAAAGCTACTCCTTCACCTCCTGACTTCACTTATATGTAAATGCTTATGGTTTGCACAGCCCTTAGCAAGTATGTTTGCAGTTGCCAGACATGCTCTGTCGCCTGAATGTGTCAGTGTTTCTTTTGAACTTCAGCAGATGTTGGTGCAGACGTTCCTGGGACACAATTGAAAGAGACATGTTGAATGGGGAAGATCATGAGGCCAGCATATGGAAAGGTCGAAGAGTTTTAGTGTGGTTTATGTGTGGCTGCTGTATTTAACAAAGCAATCAACATTGCTAAAGAGCATTTCAGCGCCGTGTGTCAGAGAAACAAGAAGGATGCTTTGATATCCTTTAAATGAGATCTAATGCTTAGTGTAACTGAATTTCACATACTTTGGAAGCATGAGTAAATAATCCATTTTACGGAGGAACGTTGAGGTGTTCTATCATTCCCTCGCTTAATGCTGTAGGAAGAGAAAGCCTGAGCATTTCCTCAGCTACATCCAAGACTCAAACCTCTTAACCTGTAATGGAGATCCAACCACCTCGTGTACAGCCTGACTCTGTGCCAGCACCTTCCTCCCACTCTTGCAAGGAGGGTAAGAATTCCAGTCTCCTTTTATCCTCCCACTGAGATACATGCTACTATTCCAAATAGATACCCAGCAGGGGCTGGCAGGATGGTGGGAGCCTGTCACTTCCTCACTCTGAGTGGTGTCAAAGAACAGGGCTTTCATTAGGAGGTTCAGAATGGCAGGAATACCTGCCTGACTCCTCAGATACTGGGGGACACACACAACTCAGTGCTCACACCAGTCAGCATGAAGATGGGGAGGAAAACTGGGGGAGAAGCAGTGCAAAAGTGAGTTTGTGGGATTAAAGATGGAATAGCCATCTCTGCTGCCTTTCTCACCCAGCATAAAATGAGAGCGAGAGCGAGGGGTTGGCTTCTGGCGATCGAGCTGTGGCAGCATGAAAAATGAGGAGGAGTGCGATAAGAAACTAATAATTTATGTTCCAAGCACAGACTCACACCAGTGTGGAGGGGAATTGGTGCCAATAACTCCTACTAACTCAGAAAGGCACGCAATCTTTTATTGCACAAATTATTAACGACCAGAAAATAAATGACTCTGTAATCAGATTGGTGCTGCTGGCGCTTTGCGTTTCTGCTTTTATTTGTCTACATTCTGAGGCCAGTCCACCCCTGGAGCCGAGGCAGTGGGAACTTTTCCTGGCCCTGTGCCCTGCCTGCCAACACAGCAGATTAAACAGCAATGAACCAGGAACATCCTGGTATCTCCCTGCCTATCGGAGATGGGTTTACTCAACAGTTTCTGGCCCCTTCAGCAGTAATGGCTCTGTGGGTGCACAGGGATCTCTGAGTTGGGATTTCATTGCATAGGGGTTGGAATAGTCCCAAGGGCAACATTGTGAACCTTTCCTGATGGAAATGCGCAGAAAAATACCAGGTCCCTGGCATCTCTTCTTGCCCCTGTCCCATTCCAGGCTCCTTCCTTCACATCCTTCCTTTGTCCTCAGGGCTGCTGGTGTTGAATTCCAGATGCTTCTGCCCTATTGTTTTCAGTAGTTGTGCTTAATATTCAGTGCTGGGCACCTGCAGCAATTACTGAGGTATACTGGAACTATAGATTCTCAGCCTTTCTTAAATCAGGGCACAGTGAATTTGGGCCTTGTACTTGCATGGGGAAAGGAGTACAAGATGTTCAGTTATTTTAGAGTTCATATGGACACAAAGCAGGGAACGTTTTCCCTACCACCAAATGATTACATCCTGTGATGTTTCTTCAATTAAAATCTTTATTACAGTGATGAGGAAAAGAAGCATTGATGAAGAATGAAATATCTTAAACAGGAAAGATGATGACTTTTGGATTTGTTGGAGGTTCTCTGTTTATATGGTGCTTTGTGTTATCTGAAGGGTGGCAGTATTCCTGTGTTAGGTAGGAGTAGTTGGGAGTTTGGGTGTGATGCCAAAGCAAGATGAGGAGTTTGATTTGGGCTTGAACTAGGAGTTATTTGCAGGGAGACACAGCATGAATTAAAATGATAGAAGCAAACAGCTTTTGAGCCCACACGTAACTTCGGCTCAAGCTCTGAGCTTCACTTGAAAGTTACCATGATAGGTACTGAACCTAAACCTTGGTCTGGGTTCCAGCCCTGGTAGGTACTTGAATTTGAACTTAAGTTTGCAGGACTTGCTGCATCCAACCTGTGGGCCAACCCAGCCCTGTTCTGAAGGCCAGCCTGTGTTCTTTTTGGCCCTAGATCCAGTGCAGCTCCAAGGCCCATGTCTACCAATCACTGAGGTTTGCTCTGATTCCAGTGACCTACCCAAGCCTGTGTGACCTGGCTAAGACTCCTTTAAGCATGGTGTTTAAGCTTTGTAGGGTGTTGTTTCTTCAATAAACAGGGTTCCTTAAAGGCGAGGGGATTACTCTGTATGTGACTAGAAGCTGCTGGGCTGTGTTTAGTCCATATATTTTCCAGTTGGTGGGGGAGACCCATATGTGAGGCTCAGACCTTTCTTCTCCCCTGTCATTCCCCCGTCCCATTTTGATTATGTGAACCATATGATAAGGAAGCAAAGTGTTTCTGTTGTTAATTCAGCCCATTCATTATCAATGGCACTACCTCCCTGATGGCTTCGTCTGAATAGGGAGGAGGGGGAGAGCTGCTTTTCCCCCTCTCTTCCTCTCTTTTTATGGTGAGGGGGTGTTGGTGAAGGCAGGCTGCAATAATGAATAATGTGCAGCTTGTTCCCAGGGCCTGCAAGTGTGTTATTAACACAGGTTTCCTTAGACTGAATGCCCAATCAGCACAGAAGCACGAAACTCCAATTGCCTTCCAGCTCTCATGAACATACTTCTAATCTCATTGACCTGGCATTATACTACACCACATAAATTGCTATTTGGAGATCTTATGTCCACTCATAAATTGGGCTGGCAGCCCTCCGATCACCAGAATAAAACTGTCTCCTGTGAGGTGGGGTTTGTAGTCATCAGTGCAGGTACAGTCAGCTTTCCTTCGTAAAATGGAGGGAAATAGGAAACCCAGCGTCAAATTCATAGAGGAGAGAAGGGAAAAAAATCAAGTGAGGTTTAAGTACCATTAACACTGGGCATAGAATGTGGGAAGATGGTGAATGAAGGGGTGTTAGCTTCTGCGAACACCATGGAGTGGTATTCAGGCATCCAGGTTTGGCCATAATTCTGTGTGGTTTCGGGGCAGGCACATGTGTGCCAACTTCATGGAATTTCTTCCTCTTTTCTCATTTCTTCTTTTACTTAAATGAACAACCCAGAGGAAATGTGTTTTCTCCCTCCCTCCTGTTTTGTGATGTTGTATCTGGATTGAGCAGTGAATAGTGGATTTGAAATTTCTATGGGTCAGTGGGAATTTGGATATGAGGAGACCTTGCTCTGCTGATACCAGGTGTGGGTATTCCTGCAGAAGGGATTCCTTGTATGAAGAAAGACTACAACCAGTAAATCCTGCTTAGTGCTGACCATTTAAGAGTGGTCATTGTAGAGGAGTCCTGCTAGCAGTATTTCTAGTATTTGGAGTCGAGCTCTTCAAGTACAGCACATAATGTTCATGTGGTGGTGGTTTCATTTACATCTGTGTCACCTTTTTAACACTCCTCACTTGTATTTGTCAGTCTGTTTTAACCTGCCCGAGGGGAGACTGAGCTGAGCTCTTAGGCAGAAGCTCTTCCCTGTGAGGGTGCTGAGGCGCTGGCACAGGGTGCCCAGAGAAGCTGTGGCTGCCCCATCCCTGGCAGTGTTCAAGGCCAGGTTGGACACAGGGGCTTGGAGCAGGCTGCTTTAGTGGAAGGTGTCCCTGCCTGTGGCAGGGGTTGGAACTGGATGAGTTTTAAGGTCCCTTCAATCCAAACCATTGCATGATTCTATTCCACACTCTGCAGTGTGCTGAACCACTGTTTTCTCTTTATCCCCAGCAGGGCTCTGGCAGACAGCAGCACAGGCTTCCTCAAACACCACTCACTCCAGTGTACTTTGCATCCTACCTGTTATGACCAGCTCTGCACTTCAGAGGGTAAGTCAGTAATGTGCATCATCATTACACGTGGTTCTGCCAACCCATATTGGAGCTAAGCTGGCAGTCTGGAAGTAATTTGCATCCTTTCCTCTGTGTGGCTTCACCTGGGGGTACTTTGCTGCTGAAAATAATCCCTCCTAAAGACAAAGAGCAGCTGAAGTTCTGTAATTCCTCAAAACCTGGAGACTTTTCCCCAGCCTTCCTAGGAGAGTCTGTGGTGGAAGTGGCTCATTTAAAGAGCATCATGGGCTTTTCAGTGTCTTTGGAGTGCTAGCAGGTGAGAGCAGCACTAGAACCTGAAGAGTTATTGCATTAATATACGCACCTCATTTGAACTGCACACTGGGCAGGCCTGCAGTGCTCTCTGGTTAGCCCCTATGGTGGTTCTCTTGCCCTCAGACAGGCAAAGTAGGACAGTGAGCTCTGCTTTTGGACAGAGGTGCAACTTGTGGCAGCTGCTTTCCTTCAGGCACTGCCCTGTGACATGGGAGCTGCCCCTGGCTCTGGCTTTATTCCACTCAGCACTCCAGCCTCGTACCTCTAACAATTTAGCAGCAGTCAGTGGAGGAAATAAAGCACTTTGGTCTCTCTCCCCCAGGGTTTTCTGTAATTTTTTGAAGGCCTCTGTTTTCACAGCACTGGGATAGATGGACCCCTAAAATATACAGCCAATTACACAGCAGAATTTATTAGACTTTATTCTGGTGCCTGTTACGTGGTGGGGGTAGGGAAGAAAGAGCAAACTCTGGAAGGAAACCCATAGCAACTGCAGGTGTGGGGATTAGAAGTCCCCATAAATATACCTGACTTTGCCATCTCTTTTAATTAAATGCAAGTCATGAAACACGGGCAGGGAGTGCAGCAGTGATGGGTGCAGCAGGAAGGAAGAGTTAGCGGGGGGAACTGGCTCCATGGCCTAGGACTGAGATGCAGAGCGGAGCTGGGAGGGTTAAAGCCACATGGGGTGATTTAGAGCAAGCCCTTCGCAGTAAGACAGAGGGAACTCTACAGTCAGTTATTAATGTTTCCTGTTCTATCTTCTCATCTTCATGGGTTGAACTGTAAATTACCCAGCATGCTGTACTGGGTTTTCTTCTCCCATCCCAGATAGGTGGTAGAGGACAACATGCCGATGCTAACAAGGAAGGAGGGGGCATAGGAAAAGGCCGTCCCCTCTGAGCTTTGCCTCAGGGCTGTGCAGCTATGAATTGTAGAGCTCTTTGGGCCTTACGCTGTGATTCACTCTGCTTCTGAGGCCTTCTTCCCTCCAAATGATGTGCCAGAATTTAGCTTCTGTGAGCTGTGGTGCTTGGTTTCCCTCCAGATATGTGTGGCTCAGAGGGCCTGTGTCTGAGAGACCAGGATGAGGGACTGTGTTAATTCAGTCCTCCTGTAAACAGCTTCCTCATTTTCTCTCCCTTTTACGTATTGAAGCATTTTTCCTTTCCCAGCTCTGTTTTGCCTTTGGTAATCTCCCCAGCATGTACTCCATCAGCACTCCTGTGGGGCTCCTGTGTGTAGGAAATAAAGCCCGTAGTTCAGCACTATCCATCTAATATCTTCTGACTGCCTTTAATCATAGCATTTTCCATTTAATTGGGAAGGCAGGCACACTTTGCATATTAATACAGCACAGCCTGCACCTCCTAAGCATTAAAATCGTGGATGCTGGGATGGGTTACGAGTGGCTGTGAACCTGCTGGGTGTCCTTTAGCATCACTTGGGGGGGGGTCATCAGGGTTGGGTTTTACCCTCCTGATGGAGTTAAAATAAACAACAAAAAATTCCCCCCTCCAAAAGGAATAATTGCTGTGGATTCTCTCCAGTTCAGTCATTGCTCTGCAGACAGTGCCTCTGTCTGCTGTGTCCATTGTCTGTCTGAGATCCTCACACTGCTGGTCCCATTGTCTGGTCAGGACAGCCAAAGGGAAAAATATCATCTTCCTTTCAGAACCATTGGTTGTGTAGCATATTCCCCTTGTGTGATCCATGAAAGACCCATTCTTTTCTTGGCTTCATTATTGCCACCCAGGAGTCTGTCTGTGTGAAACCAATGGTTTTGTCTTCGTGTCATTGTGACGTTCCTGACTCTCTCTCTTCTTGATCACGTCTTGCCTTGGGACAGACATATTGGGTTTGCTTTGGAAGAGGTCTCAGTAGGCCTTTCATGTCAGAAAAGCTTTTCAAGTGCACACTCACATTTGCACCTTGTGGTGTGTAATGTGATGGGCAGTTGTTGCTGTGATTTACTGTCTATTTACTATTTACTGTTATTTTACTGGATGTTAGATGGTGTCCAGAAAGAGGGAAACGTGCAGTTGTGTTACAGAGAGGAGGTGTAGGCTTTGGACACGATTTTCATATCTTCTTGAGGTCTCCCATTTTCCAAAGTCTTTAAGGTTCCTCTTCAAAGTCAGGAGAGGATGAGCTGAGTCCGTACTTACATGTGACTATTTCTGTTACTCAGAAGGATTCTACAGTCTTGCCATGTTTGAGAACAGTTGCTCCTGGGTTTGGGTGATGTGTTATTAGCTGGATGTTTTCCATAGCAATGAAAATACAGCTTGAGAAGGACCAAACAGAGCCAGATCTTGCTTGCTGCAAGTCTATTCCTTACTGATGTGCCATTGTTCCTGCAGTGTGTCAGCGCTCCTCATCATTCCTGTTTTTCTGGTCTGGTAAGAGCTATGTCATTGCGTCTCTGTCTTGACCTACAGTTCCCTGTAGGCTTCATAATTATGGCCTTCTTAGAAACAGACATCACTTCCCATGCCAGAAATCGTCCCGCTGTGGAGAAGTAGATCAAAATCCATTAGGGAACAAGAGGTGACTAGATTAATTCCCATCTGAAATCGCAGTTAAGCTTTGCAGTGTAGAGTTGGTGTCAGCCAAGCCTTGACATGGTGACTCTGGGGTTTGAATGTTAGAATTGGTCTGATAGGAAGAAATGAATGGAGTTTTCTTGAGTTCTAAAGTACGTGGCACTGCTGCAGACAACTGAGTAGAGCTGTAGATAGCTGTAAATACTTTAGGAGTTGGAAGCTATAAATACGTAGAGGTGCTCCCCATGTTAATGTGTCTGAAATGCTTAAAAGCTGGATATCCCACTGGAAACAAGTCAAAGGAGACTCTTCCATGCATTGTTATTTCAACTAGAGACCAAATCCAATTTGTGCCTGTTGCAGTATGCAAATAAACTAGTACCTAAGGTAATATTGCTGCATGTATCTGGTTTTCCAAAGCATCCAAGAGGACTAGTACTCTGTACATGTGCTTGGGCTCAGGATGCATGGATGTGCATTGCTTGGACATTCAAAATCTCTGATTAATAGCAAGCAACTTTTGAACCTATAGAGTAGCTATGGTTTACCCATTCCTGCTCTTCACTATGGGCTCTATTTCATGGGGAGGGAGGGACCAAGAGCCAGCCCCCATCCTCACTGTTGCTGTAGATAGTCTAAATAAGGCTTGTGCTGCAAAGTGTCTAAAGCATTTCTGAAAGGAGAGGCAGGATCCTGTGTGCTGAATCTGCTCTGCTGTTTGTGTGAGTTCTGTTCTTGCTGCAGTACCCCACACCTAGTTGTTTTCCTGTGCTAACTATGGCTGCATCCCGGTGCCTGTTGGGCTAAAAACCTGGAGTTTTCAGCTGAAATATGTCAGCATGCTTCCCAGTACCTCTGGGGGGACAGTTGGCTCTCTGCATCTTACAGCAGCAGGCAGAGTATCCACATTCAGTGCTTTCAACACTGGAAAGCATCTGTTTGAAGCACCACTGTGGAAACAGAAGACTAACAATGCTGGCCTTCTGCACCAGGCAGGAATATGGAATGCAGCATAAACTCCAATGGCAGTTGGTCTTTTATTTTAATTGCCTTTGTAAAATCTTTTCTTTTAGGTATCTTACAGGCCTGGGCTAATGAACACTGACCCAGAGTGACTGAGCTGCTCAGTGTAGTTTGGAGGTTCCTTCTGATGAGTGACATTAGCCACAGAGATGTTGCATAGCCTTCAGCATGCATTAACATTGAGCACAGACGTTGTATAGCAGAAAGATGAAGACCTGGATGTCACACACCTCAGGTCTTTCTTTCCCTGACTCTGTCACTTCCTTCTTCTTTGTCCCCAGGAGCCTTATTTGAGTTCTCTCTTCTTTATCAGCCTGTGATACAAGTGCAGTCACTGACCACCTCCATCACACTGAATTTGTGAGGTTTGGTTGTCAAGGACCTGTAGAAATAGGTAGAAACCTGAGGGAAGTTACAGAAGCATGAAGGTTTTTATTCTTAGTGGACAGAAGAGAAAAGAGGATTGGTTTGATTCTGTTCCCTATCTTCTAGTGAGACCATGAATTGCCCCAGAAGAGCCCAAGAGGCTGTTCCTAAGGCTGGAAGGCATTAAAGAGTTGATAGAGCTTTTTCCACGCTACAGGATGCTTTTTGCAGCAGCTCTTACTGCTCAAGGGATGCCAGTGTGTACATGCCACTAACACACTGTGCTTTTGGAAGCTCAGTGCTGAGAAGGTGGAGGGGGTGTTCCACAGGATAGCAGAGATCTGTGTCATCTCCGGGGCTGTGAAATAGTTCTGTTTGTTCTTCTGAATGACAACAGGAGAAAAGTACCTTCTCATCTCTTAGACACCCATGAAGGATGGATGGGGGGGGAGAAGAAAAGAGAGGCAGTGGTTTGAAAGTGACTGCACAGGTTTAATCAGCAGCTTGTTACCGTGAAACGCTACAGGGACACCTCCAACATACAGAGAGTAGGAAGTCACTGGATTACTTGAAGTCCTATTCCTTGAATTTGGCAGAATGTTCCCTCCTTCTGGCATCTGCAGGACACCTCTTGCAACTGTGCCCTTCCACATTGTCAGTCTGCATCCAGAATCCATACAAACTACATGTGCTACAGATCCATACAAACTGTATGTATGTGTATACATCCATGCACACACACACACTGAGAGCTCTATATAGAAGCGGCAGAACTTGGGGCCAGCC